TGAATCGCTTCATATATGTCAATAGACAGGAGCCCAGTCTGTATCAATAGTACGTGCTCGACGGAGCGAAATCACTCGCGACCGCTCGTGTCATTCCGGGTCAAGTCGAATCTTCTTGCAGGTTACGGATAGGGACGAGGCGTTACCAAAGAGTATTCGTGACCGGTTCGTGTCATTCCGGGTCACTTCAAATTATCTATGAGGTTACGGAAGATAGTGATAATTTCAAATATAACATTTGGGAGAAAACTTCTTACGACTTCATATTCACTTGTGTCATAGAAGCGGGTTTGGGCGTCTGTCACGTGACGTCGACTGCCATCATGGCGTTTCCACAGGGTTATCAGAAAGGGCGCGAGCATACAGCGCCATTTCGTGTTGTTTACGTAATCTTGTCAACTCACGCGCTCTGACGTCATGAACATGGCGATTGCACAGATTATTTCTCCCAAGATAAACCGCACCTTTGGGCCCTCGTAATCTGATGATAATTTGCAACTGAAAATATATACGTTAACGACTTACCAAATGCCTAAATCTGTTCCTACAGTCGCCATGGTTACAATCTGTCGGTTTATGGCAGATGTGTGTGTAAACACTGTGAAATGGGAACAATTTTCCATGTCATTTTTCATTTGGAATTTTAAATGAACACTGACGTCCGTCTGTCAACCAGATAACGGTATATGGGAAACGCTCTTTTTCCCAAACGAACAGGAAATATATTTTTTACAAAATCTCCCTTGCATAACGGTAAAACGTCTTGAACAATATAAATATGAATTACTTGCAGGAGTGACACTAGTTGATGGACATGCCAAAATCAGGTCTAATTAACGAAATAGTCTGGGAATACGTTGGGGGCATTGTGTGTGTTTGTTTGTTGTTTAACGCCGCACTCAAATTTGTTTACATATGACGGCGGTCTGTGAAGAATCGATAATGGATCAGGCAGTTCAGTGATTGACATCAGATGCATCGATCTGCGCAATAAGGATACGATGACATATGTCGTTAAACGGGTCAGCGAGGCTGACCACCCGATCCCGTTAGTTGCCTTCCACGACAAGCATGGGTTGCTGGAGATCCTGGTAAGAATTCGTCTTCAGTAACCCATGCTTGTCGCAAGAGACGACTTACTGAATCGGGTGGTCAGGCTCGCTGACTTGGTTGATAGAGTTCAACACATCCCTGTTGCCTAGATTGTCGTCCCACATGGTGTTAATTACACGATTGTCCGGTCGCACCTACCAACCAAAAGCGAAAACAAACACTTTCCTCACCATCCGGCAACACATACTTTGGACATTCCATTAAGAATCACTTCAGAACAGTTCGTCATACGCCCAATCAGAGGGGAGTTGGGTGGCCTAATGGTTAAAGCGTCCACTCGTAACGATGAATACCTGGGTGCGATTCACCACTTGGTTGCAGTGTATGAAGCCCAATTATGGTGTTCCCTGCATTCAACCACACTCACTCAACCTCCCAAAAAGAGTATCGCCTGCGAGAAAACGAAAGTGAATGTCCGAATTATACAGCCTCGGAAAGGTTAACAGGGTGTGTTCCGAACGACAGTCGAAAAACTCAAAGCGTGTGAAACGGAACAAACCTGACACAGCATGTGGGCCATACAGTCTTGACCATCTATTAAACATTCCAAAAATTCCTTTGTTCAGTTTTTAAATTTTGAATCACGAACTACATCAATCGACTCATAGTCCGGTCTGAAAGTCGCCAGTGTACAACCGTTCGTCACCACTTTCCTTCTTCAGTTACCGTCTTGTCCCAGATTAACACGAGTCGCATTCGTAACTACTCGTGTCATCCCGGCAAGCCGGATGGCGTCTTCATGTAGGTCACGGAAAGAGGCGAGTAGTTACGAATGCACGAGTCGGTCAGAAGTCCCGTAAAGTCCGAGAAAGCTGTTTCTGATTGGCTATTATCGAATCCTGCAAGTCATTTCATTGGTCGGTCAATGTTCGCGAAAGATGATTCTGACCTGACCTGCAATATGATTTCCTCAGAGTAGCGGTAGCGAGTAGTCTGTCTCATAGTCCCTGGACCGCATTATTTTCCTCCGCCAAGCCCTTTCTGTAATGCTAAAACCCCATTGAAACAAGTTTAGATTTCTTCAGGTTCTGAATCTCCCTTCTGACTGGGACTCCTTACCAATTTATAAGGAATCATTGGTTACTGTCAAAATTATACATATTCAGACCCTAAACGTAAGTCTAGATAAGGGCCCGTGGTTTTACTAAAGCACCACCACGTGTTCCCTTTAAAAGACGACCTTGAGTGTAGTTCTTCGGTTGCAGATCCTCCGAATCCAACGCTAAACCGATCGAAGACTAACGCTTAGTCTCAGTTAGCTACCAGTGAGTGAATGAGTGAGTATGGTTTTACGCCTCTTTCAGCAATATTCCAGCAATATCACGAAATGGGCTTCAGACCTTTTACCCATGTGGGGAATCGAACTCGGGCCTTTGGCGTGACGAGTGAACGCTTTAACCACTAGGCTACCCCACCGCACCGACAAGAGAGAAACCATGAAATCTGCTTTTAAAGAGAGTACTTGACCCTATTTACTGAGCGTACATGCATGTACTTAAATGCGTGTAAGAATTCTGGTGTCAGAAATTGTACATTACATCATCGTGATATTTACGACGAGGAAGTATTGCTCAATCAGCAGTAAGGACCAACTGCATGTCGGATGAGGTTTTCGGAGACATCCTGTAAGTTGATTCCGCCCTATGTCTTTTATACCCCTGTCAACATCAAGCTTTTTAAGAACCTGTAATCTTTGCTGCGATGTTACAACTATATCTGTCAATCTGATGACGAACCGCTGTCGTCCCAACCCGCTGAACCGAAAGCTCTATAAAGGACATTATCGTTCTCCATCCATAATTACCAATCTTTTTTTTTCTGCCAAACCTGAAACAACTTTACATAACGTTTTCATCCCTCCGTGTTATTTTTATACAGTAAGTTACAATAAAACATAAGTCAGTCGGTACAGTTTTCACATACGCCATTTTGAAAAATGGCCGGCGGCGTTTCTCTTGACAACGGAATCTATCAAACGCGCATGACTGCGGTCTGGTTTCAAACGAGGCTATTGTAGCAAGTTATGGGCGGACTTCTCAGATAACGAATTTAGTGGTGATTTTATCACCCTGGGCCCTTTGAAGATTTAGTATGCGTGAAAGGGGTGGCATCACGACGAAGGAGGTGTTGTATTTCACTGGCTAGCTGATTAATTAGCAGAGAAGAACTTTAGACTGACCCAGAGACTGTACTATCTACATATCAAAACAAATAAACATTTATCTTACAGTTTTTGCGAAAAGTAAGACAGCATACGTCATGCGCTCCACTGCAGGCAGCTTAAATCACAATTAAAGGTACTGGGTGCTCCATGAGACGAATGGCAGTTGACAGGGTAAAGGGACGCTGACCGTGTATTTCAGTCTCAATGTAAAATACACAGGCGCTATATGAGTAAACTTCATCTATAACGAACACGGTTATAACGAACTGACGGATTAACGAACACGGTGCCGTTGTACAAAACAACCTTAGCGCTACGACAGTCGTAAGTCCATGTTAAGGTATGGGCGTTACGATCACCTTAGCGCTAAGATCGCTTTGTACGAAGGCACTCTGTTGGTGTCCCGGGCACTTGCAGCATATTTCAGTTGACATGCGTATAACGACCTACGGTTGATACGAACTGATATTAGTGGCCCCTTTGAGTTTACTGTGTTTAAAACCACAGGCCCTGTTCACAGCTAACGTTCTGACTGATGCAGCATCCATTGATATTCCCAGACTTACGCCAGTCGTAACGCTACGACATCTTTACTAGCGAAAACGAGGCCCTTGATTTGTATACAATATAATACATATGCACATTCTAGCAAAGTTTAAGACATCTAGTCTCTGATGTGAAAATGTTTTTTTAAAAATGGAATAAAACTGATCAAAAAGACTTTCTTTTTTTCATAATCGAGAGTAATTATTATAGACAAATATTATAGACTTACAATGACTGTATTTTATATGTTTGTTTCATGGTCGGTAGTTTTTATTTTTATTTATTTATTTTTGTTGTTGCTTAACGCTTTCTGCGTTAGATGACTGGGCCAACCACGTATGTACCTTAAGTTACGAAAGACGAGTCGGAATCACATATGCATCTGCATTTGCCACGAGGGGTTGTGGGGGAGTCTAGTGGTTCGCTCGTCACTCCGAAGACCCGGGTTCGATTCCCCACATAGGTAAAATGTGTGAAGCCCATTTCTGGTGTCCCTGATGGAATATTGCTAAAAGCGGCGTCACGAGCTGCATCGTCAGATAAATCAGCACACATACATTCAGGCAATACTATCCAAATCTTTCAAGCCTAAATATAAATAGTAATAAAATATCATCAAAGTTCATTTTCACTCACATTTAAAGAAAAAAATCCTAAAACAACGTTGGTTACTTCACCAGGTATGGAAATATCTTGAAAAATGTCAGATTAACAGAATTTGAAGTCGATTAGGTAAATACTTGCATGCTGTAATAATTATTATATTTTCCTTTGGGTTTTTTTCTGTGATGTTATTCAGTACACATGGAGGATAATAATAATAATAATAATAATGTGTTGTCAGTACACACTGAGAGGAGTCTAAAAAATGACAAAACAGCAACACATGTTCACATCCTCCAGCTATCGTGACGACCGACCTTCCAGCAACAAAGCGCCCATCGTTGATGTCGTTACTCTTTCTGCTTACTATCTGCACATCTCTTAACTCTCATTACCATAACAACACAGCAATACAAAATGATACACGCGTGCGTGGCAAGCTAAGATGAATCTGGGCGACATTTATAGACGTTTATCACTGTGGTATATAAACCATATAGCCCGAACCGAGTCTTCACATACATCACCATGCGTAGGTTCTGACGTCAAAACAATGGCGCTCGGCAGCCCGAGTCTGTGATGAATGCTTTTGTTGCAAATTTCATTTCCATATCGCGTCACCCTTAATGGGTTACTGTCCATCTTCAAGGATATCAGTATTTTCTTTTCAGTAATTTATTATCTCATAATATTACAGTGACTTAAGGAGGCGACCTACCCACGTTGTAGGGTGCTATTGACAATCACCAGTGATGATACATGTTTTGGGACCGTAATCGACATGTTTTTTTGTGTTTTTCACCACTCTGGCGCCAGTACCACCGCGGACTATATTTTCTTCCAGAACCAGAGGCTAAATAGGACACGCTTTTATCTATCATGCTGTTTGCAGGAGAGCCTGGCGCCATTAGCAAGCATGGTTTAAACTAGCCACCATAGCTATATTACACATACATCTGAAATGAACATAATTTACAGAAAAAAAACAATTCATAAAAAATAATCATAAAATATACGTAGAGAAACAAATAAAGGAACACAGGAAAATTCAAGCATTCCTTTATTTTTTTCCAGTTTTCATCACCACAGCGCTATTCAAAACTGGTGATGAAAACTAGAATATATTAAAGGAACACTTGAATTTTTCTGTGTCCCTTTATTTGTTTCTCTACGTATATAATGAAAAGTAGCCCAGAGACTTTCTTCATTTTCAGATTCCCTTGTAATATAGACTTGCCACAAATTCTAGACTTGCAATGGGCTTTAATGGATATATTTGTTTCAGGGTCTGTATGACAGACTGTAGCTGTACATTCAACCACATTAACATGAAAGTATCCTTCTTTTATAAGTTATAGGTTTTTCGTTTTGTTTTTTGTAAAAGATGATTTTCGTATATCACTACAAAGGTTACCCACTGATGCAAGTTACATAATTTGACTTAATATAACAGCTGTAAAAGAACGCACAGCGTATGGGTGTTTAGTAGTGACCATCGTCTTGTTGGTGCAAGGTTAATTCTTGCAGTGATGTAACACTCTTCTCGAGGTCAGCGCCTAGCTCAGGGGAATATCTTTGTCTTTGAAGGATGAAAAATTGAAATGATGTCAGTATGTTAATCCTGAACGTTATGATTTGAAACCACCGACATTGTCTCTCTCCTATCCCAATCTCACCAAAACCCTTAGTCTGTCTCACAGTCCCTGAACCATATTATTTTCCCCAATGCTTAGCCCTCCCTGCAATGCTAAAGCCCTAAATGAAGCAAGTTTAGATTTCCTCAGGTTTGAATCTCTGGTCTCACTGGGGCTCCTTTTCAATTTAAATGGGTTTATTTGCTACTATCACAATTATATGTATTCAGGGACTAAACGTTGGTCTACAAAACCGTCTGTGTCATGTGCTTGTCGGCGACATCACAGAGATGTTGAGGGCCATTCAGGTAAGTCATTCCTCTGATCCTCTGTCACTCAACTGCTGAGGCACCTGAGCGTCTTTCAGCCAACGACCGGTAAACTACGGAGATGGAACGTTGTTGTGACCATACGCCTACATCATTCATCACATGAACGTCGACGTGAACGTTAGTGCTAAGGGAGGTAACTCTTTCAGGGTGGAATAAACGTCATGCTTCGTTAAGCGTAGGGAATCTGTACATGAATGTGTTACCGCGGGAGCACGTGAGGTAATATTTATCTGTGATAGGAGTGACACTGAAGCCCCGTATGAGCGAGCTTGTATCCGAGTTCATCTTGGATTCAAGCGACACGGGGTATAGGAATGTTTCATATCTTCCGAGCTCGGCACAGAGAGCGACAAGTTATCGTAAGTTCAAACCAGAAAAGAAACAGAACACCGACGGCTTGTTAATGCGCCTTCAGGAACATCCAGTGCTGGTCTGAAAGGTGTCTGATTCCGCAGGCCCGGTGTATCTTGGATCAAATTCCTTTGTTGGAAATCAAAGCTAACGATATTTAGATGTAATCGTCCGTGTCGTATCGCCTGTTTTAGGACCTTTCCTGTGGAATCCCAGAAGGGACATAGTCGCGTTTTCGCCCTTACAAAACCACGCAAAAAGTGTCAAAATTAAGTGCTACAATGCGACATGTTCCAATTTTCAAGGTCATTATGTGTCGCACTGTCCCCTTGACGCGCATTGTAACGCTTTTTTGACACATCTTAGATGGGACAACAATGCGACAACGTGACAAATTGTCGCTATGTCGCATTGTTGCCCTTTGGTTGAATAAAAATATATAAATTAAAGCCAGACAATGCATCATAGCGACACTGCGACAAACTGCCAAAATGTCGCATTGTCGCATTTTGACACTTTTGGCTTTTTTCTTCCATGATTTCATACTTTCTTGATATCCGGATACAAATCCTACAGGACGCTTAGGTGCATGGTGGTTAACCGTTCTCTTGTAACACCTCTGATTCGAGTTTGCTTCCTTCCTGGTGACGAGGTTCTTTGCTCATATTTCAGTCAAAGGTTTGCCTGATCCAGACACGAAGATTTAAGGTCGTCGTGATGCAGTTCTAATACATGTATATTCACAGTCCAAACAAAATTCACTCACCATTTCTATATTATTGCCCCAATTCTAAAGTACATATAATTATTTATAACAATTCAATTAGTGAACAAATGAAAGTGAACATTCACCTTACATTGGTCAGTAGTGGCAGTCGAACAGGTTAAAGCGTTCGCTCGTCACGCCGAAGACCCGGGTTCGATGCCCCACGTAGGTACAATGTGTGAAGCCCATTTCTAGTGTCCCCTGCCGTGATGTTGCTGGAACATTGCTAAAAGCGGCATGAAATGATACTCACTCACTAAAATAACACTGACTGAAACGCAAATCGATTGACATCCTATCAATTTTTGCTATGGAATTACGGTCCGACATTCGTCTTTGAAATGAAGAGATTCTGAAAAGCCATGATAAGCGACCTGAACTGGTTCTAAGATATGCACGCGCGTACGCAGCGAAGCGGATAATTAGAAGATCCAATTACGATGCTGTGATACGATATCTCGACCTTGATTGGATGATGAACGCGGAGCATGAAGGGTGCAAGGTCAACCAGTTTCCACGGACCTTGAAATGGTTGTACATGTACTATCATTGGGAGCCATGGATATGATGTGGCGAAGGTTACAATCAGAGCAGCCTCTGTATATATGCTTTAGTTATGCCAAGTAACACAGGCTTACAGAGACTTGATATAGCACATATAGACCAACAACTAGTCTCTGAAATGAACATATTTTACTGAAAAACGTTCATAGTAACACAAAAATATAATATAATGAAAAGGAGCCCTGAGACTTTCTTCATTTTCAGACTGAAGCTGAGGAAATCTAGACTTTCCACATTTTCTAGACTTGCGTTGGCTTTCTTGGATATATTTGCTTCAGGGTCTGTACTACAGACTATAGCACATATAGCAACCAGCTAATTGAGGGAACGGGTTTTCCGACATTGTAGATGGTAGTGTAGTCGGTCTCACAGTCCATGAACCACATTATTTTCCCTACTGCCAAGCCCTCTCTGCAGTGCTAAAGCCCTAAATAAAGCAAGTCTAGATTTCCTCAGGTTCTCTGGTCTCCCTAGGGCTCCTTTTGAATTTAAATGGGCTTGTTTGTTACTATCAAAATTATATATATACAGAGACTAAGCCTTAGTCTAATGGTAGTGCAGTGGCACGGAGCTTTGTCAGTGTTCGTGCCTTGACCGAGAATCCAGTTGCAAATAATGGGTGGAATATTTGATTGATCAAAATTGTTCAGGAACCGATGGCAACAATAGGTAAAAATGGTTAAAGATGCTTTATAGGGTTCTATTTGTTTATTGTCTTACGCCGCACTCAGCAATATCACAGTGGCAAGACGGCGATCTGGACCAGAAAATAGTGTGATTAACATCATGAGACTCGATCTACGCAATTGGGATACGATGAAATCGGATTTCAAATTCAACAATTTAAAACCTTTAATGATCCACGTAAAAGTTTCCCTTTTGATAATCAGATAATATAAGTGATTGACATCATGAACATGACCATGAACGTGAACACCAGAAATGGGCTTCACACATTGTACCCATGTGGGGAATCGAACCCGGGTTAATGAAATTACGTAAAAGCAGACCTTTAGCCCTGTTATTCGTATGAATGTCTTAATAATGCTTTAAACTAATACTTATTGCCTATGCAAGCTTATGAGTCTGCAACCAATCAATTGAAATCAGCCTTTTACGACCAATATTGGTTGTATGGTAGATGTCCCGACCCGGAACCCCTAGGGGTGATTAAGAAGAAGAAGAAGAAGACTGACTGACTGAATTTGGTTTTACGCCGCTTTAAGCAATATTCAAGCAACATCACGGCGGGGGACACCAGAAAGGGCTTCACAAATTGTACCCATGTGGAGATTCGAACCCGGGTCTTCGGCGTGACGAGCCAACGCTTTAACCACTAGGCTACCCCACCGCCCCAGAAGAAGAAGAGGAAGAAGAAGAAGAAGAAGAAGAAGAAAATTATTTTATTTCCGTGTCACACACTGTAAAACAATGACAATAAAAATACACAAATATAATATACAGTGCCCGGCCAATATGAGAAACGCAGGACGCCACATACATATAAATAAAAATGAGGAATATCACAGATCATACATGTACATAATATGAAAGTTATCAGGTGCAAGATCTAAAGTTTGGGGGAGAACATCCTGATACTGAGCAGAAATTTAATGTTAATTAGGTTGGTAGAGACGAAAGACACAGTTGTCTTCGCTGATACATGTGACACAGTTGTGCGGCTAGGGTCTAACAAACTTATCATTCCGCATAAAGAACACAGTCTGGTCGGCAGCGGTCATCTGTATGAAGTTCGGAGTTGATTGGGAAGCTAAGTTAAGGAGGTATACTTGTTTATGTGTATACATGTACCCCAACTGCTGTAGTCCAATGCTTTTAAGTACCCCTGTTGGGAGTACGAAACCGACCTAATTAACTTGTCTAGCTTCCTTGCTGGCATGTGTCACCGCAAAGCCAGACATCATTAGACGGGACCCAGTCTGCAACTCGCACGCAAACAGTGGTTCATTATCAGTTTACAAGCGTCCGGCAGATATGACACAACAGTTCCTTCACCCTTTTGTCTAAATACCAATCTAGCAAGTCGTTACGAATGTATTTTTGTCTAAACATTTAGATTCCACGTAAACACTTCTGACAGCGAGGGTATCGTATTCTGACTGCTCACAACAAACCCCAGTTCTCGAAGGTAATTAGAAACACAACTCTGTAGGGTCCGTGGCGCAATTTACATAAAGATACTTAGGTTCAAATCAGTTTTGTTTGTAAATATGTTACTGTCAAACTCCGAAGATGAAGAACAAGAGGAGGCTGGGAGGTTCGCCCTTCCCAAGAAGTAAACAGCATGGTATTGGAGTTGATTGAACCACTTAGCTCTCTCCGAGGTCAATACACAACCAACATACATCCTTTCGTCTCAGTTTCCATTTAAACATGCACTTCTCTCCTTCTTCGCAGCATCACCCAAAACGAACACGACCATTAGAATACTTCAGAAACTTTCCCGCCCGAATACCACGTCTCCCGTGGATCCATGGCGGCCATTACCTCCCAGCTTCTCGTCTACAATTTGTACGGAAAGGTTTTTCTGTTATTTTTATCAGATTCCCGTCAGTTTGTAGCGACACCAGCCGCGACCACCCAACCCCGTAACACGCCATTTACAAGTCCGTAATTGAAGTTTATCTCATTTGTATAGTTATAATATAAACATCTCGACAATTCGATAATTTCTCCGTATGATGGAGTGCTAATTGTCCGACTGTATTGTTCAATGACCGCTTTCCTTATCTTCAGGGACCGTAAGACCACACCCCGGGTGTATCGTTATCTCCTCCCTGACAACACGGGTCATTAAAACCAGGGAGACTATAAAGAAAACGTACACCAGCCGCCATTTTGAAGATAAAGAATGACCATGACCTTGGACTTAAAGGTCATGTTTTGTGACGTACGCAACGAAAGAAGAGACAAGACGGACTTCTTTTGTCACATTTTGAAGAAGATGGCGCCCGGTTGACGTCCATGATGACCTTCATAGGCGGATCCAGAGGGTTGCAGGGTGCGCACACCCCTTTTGTCCTGAAAGTTTATTAAATGACCATTGAAATTCTCGTGAAAATGAAGTGTGCACCACCCCCAACCCCCCTTTTCAATAGTGTGCACCCCCTCTCTCAAAAAGTTGTATCCGCCCCTGACCTTGACCTTGGATTCAAAGGAAGTAGCGACATGGAGACCGTGAATTATCATCTATTACAGGAAAGTAGCTCCCTAGTTACTAGTAGTTAGTGCGAGTTATCTGTTCAAGGACTGTGTTCGACTTCCTTGTTGACAGCCTTTCTTGGTGTCATGGGGCCATTCGCTATCACAGTTGTAAATATATTTAGATTATACAGATTATATTTTTAAAGATCCACATGCAGTCACAATATTCTGTTAAGAGACTGCAAGTACCGTTATTCCTATATCTTAAGGTATACGATGGTCCCATGTCCAAGACTTTAAAACGTGTAGATCTGTGAAAGTCGTGAGCTCTTGGCTGAGTCCAAATCTGTGGGGATTCTGGGTCCTGATCCACAAATGGTTCGTAACTTTACGACCTGTCGTACTTCTATAGTTTATCATAGATTAACGAATGTCGTAACGATACAAAGCTTTTTGGACCGGGGCCCTGCGTAGCAATTCTGGTCTCTGTGGCTCATAGATATTGTCGGAGGCTATTGAAGAGCCGTCGCTTGTAGGCTCCGTGACCTGGCTGATTACAGGTCATCGTATCCCAGTTGCGTAGATGTATGTTCATAACGCCAATCACTGCATTGTTTGGTCCAGACTCGTCTATTTACAGGCTGACGTCATGGAGATGTACATTCGTGACCAATCCTGATATTCATGGGCAAGCAAGAAATTACGGAAAGGTACGAGTGGTGACAAATGAGAGTTGTAATATTGAAGCCTTAAGCAACACACAGAAAACGACAGCCATAGTGTCACGATCACACTCATTCTCTTCCCACAGAGGTTACGTGTCATATCTTTCTACTGGTTATGATACGGCCATATTTCCCGGTTCTCGTAAAATCCCCTAGCGGCAAAAATCGCAACTTGAATTATCTCCCTTTTTTCTATCCAATCAGAACACTTGTTACATCGGCTTAGATCCAACTTGACTAATACAAGCAAATGTGGAGCCACAAATATCCCTCCTCTGCCGGGGACTTGAGTTGATGTGACATACAAGACATTTAATGGCTACCTTGTCCGTTGTCAACGAGGGCGATGGAGACGCCATTAATCCGCCATTACATGACTGAGTTCTAGAAGAAACGTTTGCGCATCGCGCAGGGGAAGAGGTTCTAGTTTTCCCGAAGCATACGGAATTTACCGAGGCCTTGCGAATGATATTTGTATCAATTAACCCACATTCAGATGTCGAATATCAACTTGTAGGATAGTTTAAGCATAATAGGGAAAATATCACTCTTTATCTATTCTGTTTGAAATTGGTACATCACAGTTTTGTGGGATCGAACCCAGACTTCTGTCAATACTACAGTTTCCGTAGTTTCATTAGAACTAACATTCAAACTGACTCCAACTGTGTAAGACTGTCTTCTAATGTCTTCGACAGTCTCCTGTCGAATATCTCCAACTGATTCCAGCTGCCCCAATCTGTCCTATTCTGACGATTGTTTCCTACTGCCTCCAAGTTTCTCCAATAAATTGTGGATTCAACGTACACTACCGCTCCCGTCATTAGAGTAACAACTAGTCTCTGAAATGGACATATTTTACAGAAAAAAACCTCAAAGTGAAAAAAATAAAATATAATGAAAAGGAGTCCTGAGACTTTCTTCATTTTCAGAAGCTGTGGAAATCTAGACTTGTCACATTTTCTAGACTTGCGTGGGATTTCTTGGATATATTTGCTTCAGGGTCTGTATGACATACTACCCGCTCATATGAAACCACTATACGTTTCAGAGCATGGAGAAGACACCATCAAGTTATCACCCGCGGCATTTACAGTGTTTCATCTGTCACAACATGCACTACTGTGAAACATATGGCCATCCAGAAGCCATCATCATACAGTGAATTATGTCCTTGATGGTACAACAACGAGATGTGACGACCATACATCAACCCGACGGCGCAATAACTCACTGTCCCTGCCAAGGTTTTGATATACGCCTTTGACAAAACTAACAGCAACTATCACCTCCTCTGCATCCAAAGTAGGCCTTACCACTACGGTGGATTAATCACAAAGATGAGTTCATAGTCTTAAGGGGCCGTTTGGTAGCCAAGTGGATAAAGCGTTTGCTCGTCACGCCGAGGACCCGGGTTCGATTCCCCACATGGGTACAATATGTGAAGCCTGTGCCTGGTGTCCCCCGACGTGATATTGCTGGAATATTGCTAAAAGCGGCATACAACTAAACTCACTCACTCACCCTAGTGCTTAAAGCGTTAGCTCGTCACGCCGATGACGGGGATCGATCCCATATGGGTGCAATGTTTAAAGACAAGTTCTGCTGTCCCCCGCCGTGATATTGCTGAAATAAACTAAACTCACTCACTCATAGTCTTATTATATTGTTTCCCACTTTCTTGCGCCTACTGAGCTACATTCAACTCAAATGCCTCCGCATCTCCTCTGTCACGGGTTGCACCACTCTTAACTAAGTGTAAAAGACGTTGATGCATTGTTGTTCTTGAGTTTTGAAGATCCCAATCTGTCTTCCAGCGTTGTATTCTGAAGCATATTTATGAATTCCGCGCGTTTTCGTGACGGCTTGAATTGGCGGGCAGAGGGGCTAGACGTTCGGGGCGATGAAAAGATTCATCGTGGGTACGATATGTCGACTCAGATTGCCATTTTTCCCAGTTAAAGTGTACCAACAGGGACGGAGAGGAGTGAGCTATGTTCGGATCTGAAAACACAGCGTCCGAACGAGCTGACACGTATGCTATCAGTAATTCAACTTCTCCGGTGTCGACAGGTCCCAAACGACCCAACTTGTTGGCTGCCTACCACATGTCATCGCACTTTACCCCGCCAATATGTCTCCCGCGCTTAGCAGACGATCTCGCCGCCATTTTGTTTTTTAGCCCTCGCTCTCTAACCGAAAATAAGTCCATTACAAAATCTGTCAAACTTGGAGAACGGAACTGTCCATCTTGGCACCAATATCGCGTGACAGAATTCTATACAATTCAGGTGAACATCCGGCACTGTCGAGCTGGCGGTATTTTTCCAACATTCCTCGGTTGCCAGGTCGCTGATTTCAAACAGCCATGATGGTTTAGGTGATTGCCACTTAAAGCGTCGAAATTCCATCAAACGATGTCTTTCAAAAGGAGAAAACTTTGAGATATTATCGAGATGTCAGTGTTTGTGGACAAAGTCACCTTACGAGCTAGGAATTGATTTTAGTATTCCTGGGAACGCCAACGACATATAGTGGTGATTGCTCGGGAAGCGAGAAACTAGTCAGTTTCCTTTGATCCACGGGTTTCAATTTCTGCCGACAATCTATCGTCGCCGAGAAATAATAACTTAAAAGGTGTCGTCATCTTGTGAAAATAAATTGCATAATATACAGGCGTGGGTCCTAATACGACGCAGATATTGGTCGGACAAGATGAAGCGAGAAACGTAAAATTGGCCGGAATTTCTCGATTGTCGTTTCCAGTTCTGACTGGTTTCAACAGAGAAGACTCACTGAGTACTTCCCTAGTTTGTCTTTGATGGCGTTTCTGGGAAAGGCAAAGTCGCCAGTCCCTCATGAGTGTCTTTCGTGGCGTTTCTTGGTAAGACAACGTTGCCGGTACCTCATTTTGCTAATCCGCATCGTTTCTGGGTAAGACAAGGTCATCGGTACGTCGCATGTGTCTCCCGTGGCGTTTCTGGTTAACACGACGTCGCCAGAACCCCGTGTGTGTCTCCAATGACGAGGTCGCGAGCACCCTATGTTAGGCTACCGCGGCGCCTCTAGTTAACTCAGGGGCGGTGGGTTAGCTTAGTGTTTAAAGCCGGGTTCGATTCCCCACATGAGTACAATGTATGAAGCCCATTTCTGGTGTCCCCCGCCATGATATTGCTGGAATATTGCTAAAAGCGGCGTTAAACCATACTCACTCAGTCACTCTAGTCAACACAAGGTCACCAGTACCTCCAAGTGTGCCCCCGATCGTGTTTTAGGTGACACCTAGTCGCCAGTACCCTGCGTATATTACCCGTGTAGATTGTTGGTTAGAGTGTGAGTGAGTGAGTTTAGTTTTACGCCGCACTCAGCAATATTCTTTTGGTTAGATGAAGTCATAAGCACATTAACGTTTGCTAACAACGTCCCTAGTAATCCATGCCAACCCCGGCACGTGAGACAACTGTCCCCACCCCCCATCCTTGGACAATCGAACGAAGTGTCCCTTACACTGTATCCCGGTACTCTCAAGAGTATAACTGAAACAAACCCTTGACCCACGAAGATGGTATAACAACCCTTTGTTTTCTTGTCTGCGGCCCATTCCCTTCCTTGGGATACAAAAAACTAATTCTGAAATGTAGGGACGAATACCAATCGATTTTCTGTTTTCTTAGCATTAAAACTTTAAACAACCATGCAGCAGCATCATAATTGGTCGTTATTGTAGAAAGCAGAGTCTATAATAGGGGTGTGTAGCTTGCTGGCGCCTTGTAGTGGCTGCGTAGATGACCCCAATATGAAAGCCATAACCAGTTTTACTGACATTACCAAGGATAATTACTTAAAGTGCATTTCTGAAACTGAGACAATGTTTATTTGCCGCAATTAAAACTCCATTAGCCTGACTATGAAGCCATGTAAATTGAATTTTGGTAAAACCGACATAGTTATTAGTGAGCCGGTAACTGGCCAACCAGCGTGCTGATGCGGAATGGCTTCCGATAACCCTCCATAGAACATTAGCACCACGATCAAACTGAACAGAAGCTTTTGATGGTTGTTTTGAAAACACGCTACCTTGTGTATCAGCTTGCTCGGTTCTCTGTGATGAGAACAAGCCACGCATTCTTTCTCGGGTTGAGATGAGAGTGAGTGAGTGAGTGAGCGACCAAAGCTACTGGTACTGACCCAGTGAGCAAATGACTGTTACACGACGGCAGGTTGTGTTTAATCAAATCTGGGCCAGAAAGTCCAGTGAATAATAACATGATCGAAAGAGTCGATGTCAAACAATATGTAGTGAGTGAGTGAGTGAGTGTGTGGGGTGAGTGAGCGAGTGAGTTGAGCGGAAGAGTGAGTGAGTGAGTTTGGTTAAACGCCGCTTTGAACAGGTAAACCATCAAATCTGGACACATTATCAAAATCAAAGCTTAGAATTTGAACCACGCCATTGCTGCAGTTGTAAAAGCCGTGGATGATATAATAATTAATATTCATGTGAAAAAAGAAATACGTATCGGGGTATTCTAAGCTTGACTATTGATCTTGAGGAGGGTAAGGTTCTTGCTTTTATTGTTGCTGTTTGGGGTGGAGGTGGATTTAGCGGGGTGGGCGTTTGGTGTTGGAGGAAGGAAAGCTGGGGTTAGACGGAGGGGTAGGGTAGGGGAGTTGAAATGAAGCAAGGTATATTTTCATTTCGCTAAATGTCTGTGATGTCGCCTAGTAAAAGAACATAGATAACAAGATAACATCTGTAGGATCGAGGGAGCTCGCCGATGCTTAGCACGGTTATTCTCGTTGTCGATGTGTTTGGTTAGGCAAATTCCACGTGTTTAAATGAGATTAAAGTCGACCACTGTAATCAGTGAGAGATTACTGGTCAGTGCGTGTCTTAAACCATATAACTTTAAATCTCGTGAATCCACATCGATTTGGTGCGTCGACTGTTCTGAAAGATTTCCCGTAAAACCAAAATTCCTCGGTCATGTTTTTCGTCAGCTGCTTGAAAGTTTTCTTGTGTTTTTGTTTGCTTGATTGCTTCGTTCTTGTTTGCTTGATTCACACTGCACTCAGCAATATTCCAGTTGAATGAAGATGATCTGTGATTGATCAAATCTGGACCAGACAATCCAGTGATTGACATTATGAACATCGACCTATGTAGTAGATGCGATGACATATGTCAAGCAAGGCAGCGAGACCTGGACCCCGTTTCACAAAGCTCTCGTAGCGCTACGACTATCGTAAGTCAATGTTACAGTATAGGAGGTACGATTGCTACGAGAAAAGTTACGAGATCTTAGGCTTACGAGAGCTTTGTGAAACGGGGCCCTGATCATCTTATCCGTTTACTTGCATTTTGTTTCGCCACAGGAAACTTCGCTAAATGTGTGAGTGGGTGAGTTGTAAGAGTTGCCTGAAATGGGTATTGGGTGGCGTGACGTGACTCATTATGTGTCAAGTGACCCTGAATGCCTGGACCGAGGCACTTGCTTCCAGTCACTGGCTTGTCTGGTCCAGACTCGATTATGTACACGACTCTCAAAACCTTGCTGACTACATGTATGAGTTTAAGAAACAAACGGGCGGTGGGGTAGCCTAGTGGTTAAAGCGTTGGCTCGTCACGCCGAAGACCCGGGTTCGAATCCCCACATGGGTACAATGTGTGAAGCCCATTTCTGGTGTCCCCCGCCGTGATGTTGTTGGAATATTGCTAAAAGCGGCGTAAAACCAAACTCAGTCAGTCAGTTAAACAACAAACGGATATAAAATACAAAGGTATGCCAAGCGTTTGATAAAAATGTTTGATCTGTTTAAAAAGAAATCCATATCTCCTTATTATCCGAGCTACCCAGCTTCAGCAACCAAAGTGTTTACCCACTTACGTTACGTATGTGAAATAACTGAACTGGACTTCATTTTACACTTAGGCCTCTATCAGAGCATCCTCGATAATCTCCAGGGTATACGTTACGACCCCTCTCCACTATACCCTGGATGCATCCACGGATTGGCCCGATAATTATATTACCTCCCTTTGCTGGCTCCGCATTCTCACAGTAGACAATCAGCTAAGCCGCCGTTACATCCGAGCTTGCCAGTGTCAACAAGGATAGCGGTCGCAGTCGCGAAGGTTTGTTCGCAGTGCCACTCAGATTTTTGGGGAAATCATACAGACAAATTGACAGATCTGAAACTTTAAAAAATACATGAAAGAACTCCTTCTACCTCTTTCAGAGTACCTATGCATCAATTGTGTTGCCAAGTTTAAACGGTTAGATAATTTACTAAGCGAAAGTGAGTTGTGATTGGTTCGCTCAACTTCACAGCGTAGACACCTGATTGGATAAATAAAACAACAAAGGGGGTAATATAATTACCGGGCCAAGCCGTGGATACATCCAGGGTAGAGTGGAGAGTGATCGTAACGTATACCCTGGAGATTATTGAGGCTGCTATCAGAGATACAACATTATCTTAATATACAGGTATACACTAAGCATCAGCACCGAGCAATGAGAACAGATATCAGTACAACATTCAGTAGACTAACGCTTAGTCTCTGAATATATATAATTTTGATGGTAACAAATAAACACATTTAAATTGAAAAGGAGTCCCAGTGAGTTGGGAGATTCCTGAACCTGGGGAAATCTTGCTTCATTTAGGGCTTTAAAATATCATTGCAGGGAGGACAAGGCAGTAGGGGAAAATAATGTGGTTCAGGGACTGTGAGACAGACTATAAATTCAATTGCGAAACATGTTGTTTGTTTTAGACTTTTACAACTTTGGATAATTCCCAGTTCCCATTTTCCGTCTATTAAGAAGTAAATTCATTTTAAGAAGGTTGGTTTAGGGAAGAGTTTTTTTTTCTCATTTTTGAAAACTGGACAATAAAGTTCAAATGTTCCTCATAATACAGACGTTGACATCCATAAAACTCTGTTTCCTAATCTTAAAATGAATCAAAAGTTGTAAATAGCACCATATAGACTGGGTTCCGCCTGTAGAATCTACTACACGACAATACCACAAAGTAAACTGGATCTGCTTGTTACATGTTACGCTGACCTGCGTCGAGTCACTCATGCGTTGATCAGGAGACGAGACCCCAGGTGCACGAACCCCTTTAATTTGCACCCACCCACAATAGATCCTCGACAAGATGGCGTTCAGTCCGATGGGTGGGGAAATCTCTCCCCTGAGGGGTTGATGTGAGAAATACAGACTACATGTCAACCACAACCGTGTATGGGGGATTATCACCGAAGCTTTGTGCCAGTATAAATACTGCGCGCCTGATTACCTCCCCATTTAGCTTTCATTCTCCTCCCGCATGCTTCATTTCCCGCCATGTGTCGCACACAACCTGAAAGCATGAAGCGATTACCCTCTCCTGTCACAGTCCTCGTGTCTTTGTAGGGAAAACACGTGGTTAGCATACTACTGCCATTGTCTGGGTACAAAGGACACTTTCTGATGTGAATGGAATATATGCTGTGTCAGGGACGCGTAGAACAGATAGACTTTGTAGAACACGTGTGTACAGAACACAACAGATAGGCTTTGTAGAACACATCTGTACGGAACACAATATATATACTTTGTAGGACACATGTGTGCAGAACACAACGAATAGACTTTGTAGAAGACGTGTTTACAGAACACAACAGATATACTTTGTAGAACACATGTGTGCAGAACACAATAGATATACTTTGTAGGACACATGTATGCAGAACACAACGGATAGACTTAGTAGAACACGTGCGTGCAGAACACAACACAAAGACTTTGTAGGACACATGTGTGCAGAACACAACAGATAGACTTAGTAGAAGACGTGTACAGAACACAATCCTTTGTAGACCAAAAGTGGACATTTCTAATGGACAAATAAGACGGCCTTTGTAGGACACAAGAGTTTATATAGAACGTTTCTAATCGACAAATACAACATGCTGTCTTTGTAGAACACTGAAGTGTGTGTATAGAACGTTTCTAATCGACAAATACAACATGCTGTCTTTGTAGAACACTGAAGTGTGTGTATAGAACGTTTCTAATAGACACATACAACATACTGTCTTTGTAAAACATTGAAGTGTGTGTATAGAACGTTTCTAATAGACACATACAACATACTGTCTTTGTAGAACACTGAAGTGTGTGTATAGAACGTTTCTAATAGACACATACAACATACTGTCTTTGTAGAACACTTATGTGTGTAAAGAGAACGTTTCTAATAGACACATACAACATACTGTCTTTGTAAAACACTTGAAGTGTGTGTATAGAACGTTTCTAATAGACACATACAACATACTGTCTTTGTAGAACACTTATGTGTGTAAAGAGAACGTTTCTAATAGACACATACAACATACTGTCTTTGTAGAACACGTATGTGTGTAAAGAGGACGTTTCTAATGGCCTCACACAACATACTGTCTTTGTAGAACACACATGTGTGTAAAGAGGACGTTTCTAATGGACACATACAAGAGACTGTCTTTGTAGAACACACATGTGTGTAAAGAGAACGTTTCTAATGTACACATACAACAGTCAGTCTTTGTAGAACACCCAAGTGTGTGTACAGAACATGTCTCATTGAAAAATAAAACAGTCTGTCTTTGTAGAACGTGTCTCACAGTCGTTACCATGGCAACCATCACTTCTCTGTAGTATGATTATGAAAGATCCCAAATAAGAAATATATAAGGTTAATTAAAAAAATACACTCAAAGCCGCGGCCAACTAGGGACAAGACCATCGCTGGAAAGGCCAATCCAATATCATCGTGGATGCTGACGACCGATGGTGTCGTCTGCGCCATCAAAGACCAACTCATCTCCGTCAGAGGAAGTAAATATTCTAGACATGTTTTTCGCCTTGATTTCTCCTGGGAGAAGTCGAGAAATAAATCACATGGATTTAGCATTTTATCGCATGGGGTAACGTGAGTGCAAATAAAACAAATACATCGACCCTCTTTCTTGTGTCCGGTCCAGAGTCCTCTCAATAAGTCTTCTTCTTGTATTCCTATGACTGAATAACTCACTGGGACTGTGCTGCAACGTCATCGGATTGTGTTGAGGTTTGGACGTTTTGTCTCTTTATTGGATACTTAAGTCTTTGACTGCTGTGGTCGACAACAACCGCCGGTAGTGATCAAGGGGATAAAAAACAAGCTTTCAGGACGATCGAAGTTGGGAACTTTCAAGGCATCAAATCACGTCTATCAATTACACAATAAAGACACCATATTCTGACAATTTTGGTTTTCTTTAGCATCTTGTGTTTTTCTTTCATTTGGAACGGGGTTTCGATTGAACTGGTTTCGTGTTTAAACGCGGATCAATCGCAAGTTGTGCGTTGTAACAGGCAGTTCTCAATTACGTTCTCAAGGGTTCTGAAGATGAAAAAGAAAAAGAAAATTTAATTCATTTGTTACACATGACTATGCGACGGTTCACATGATACTGTATTCTGGATCCAACATTTCCTCTGAGACAATGTGCTGATATGCAAAACAGGACAGGTTTAGTTCAGGTTGGACAAGCGTGTCAAAGTCGGGATCAAAGTCTGAAGGGATACAACTGATAAAATTGCCAATGTGAGATGTTCCAGTGTGATGAATGCCAATGTAGTTCCTGACCGATTTGTTTGGTCTCCCCTGCCGTGATGTATCGTTTCTGATCCGGGTTAGAATGAACCTTCAGAAACCTATACTTGTCGTAAGAGGCGACTAACGGGATCGGGTGGTCAGGCTCGCTGGCTTGGTTGACACATGTCATCGGTTCCCAATTACGCAGGTCGATGCTCATGCTGTTGATCACTTGATTGTCTGGTCCAGACTCGATTATTTACATATCGCCGCCATATAGCTGGAATACTGCTGAGTGCGGCGTAAAACTAAACTCACTCACTCGCTATCATTTCTGAAAACGTAAAAATAACACTCTCTCACTCTGGGCCAAAATAGATCCAAGTTGTCTATAAGTTGTCTTTGCGATGGTTGAGTAAAGAGACAAAGAGTGACATACCTTTCTGTTTGTAATCGACCCCCGATAGCGAACCTTCAATCCTTTCAAACACTCGTCTTCCAGGCCCAGATTTGATTATACACAACCTGGCAAACAACGGCGCAATATATCATTCACTCACAGGGTCAGGGGTTCTAGTGTCTGTAGCTTCGATTGGGAGGCTTTGGTCATTCACTCACTCACTCATCCGTTAACTCACTCATCTGTTCACTCACTCACTCCGTCACTAACTCACCCATTCACTCACTCACTCAACAACCCACTCATTCAATCACCAACTCACTTACCTATTCACTCAGTCACCCACTTTCTCACCCGTTCGCTTACTCACTCACCAACTCACTCACTCCCCGTTTCACCCACTCACTCACTCGCCATATGCACAGGTATCATTCTTTAATCTCCCTCAATATCCCTGAATTCTCCCTGTACACTAGGCTCTGTCCAATAAGACTCCCATACAATGACTGAGATTCCATCTGCTTATAAAACCTGTTCCCCACCTGTCAAAAAAAAAAAAGATTGAAAACGAGAATACGTATTTTGTATCAAATTCATCAATTTATTATCCACCCCCGAGTGGTTCCGAGTATACCAAGTCAAGCAAATGCCGGATTGTGTTGTAAAGCCCGTATCTGTTGCCGCTGTTTGATCCCATACATTGAAGACGGTGACCAGCGTTCATTGAAGAGGGGGACCGGCGTTCATGGCGGCCTCTAATGTTTCTGTCAACGGAGGAGAAAAGTCACCCGTACTGTCATGAAGACAATACCCGGCCAGGGGGTAGCGGAGCCGGTCGTCTCTCACAGATATATGTTCTGCTCTGTGGAGCCACAGAAGGCTCTCATTTCGGGATAATTCAATTAATTGCCGACAAGCATGATATAGGGCTAATCCGGGTCTAAATGTAGCGATTATCGCGATTACCGGTGTCATGCTGTCCGTATCGCTGGTGATACCGGATAGGGGCATGCGCTGTGTGTGGACATTGGGAACTGCCTGAAACCTGGCCAAGAAAAGCCGGGCTCGGCCGGGCCACTGGGTACTACTAAAAATGGATTGCTGAATATTAAAACGAAACCCGCGCATTGGACCTGAGATTGATGAATACATGCAATTCTTCTTATCACTGTGTTGATCAAGATTCGTCCATTTCGTCCAGTGAAGGCTGTCAGCAAAACCGCGCGTCATGTCTCAAGTGATTACCAGCACAATAGGTGCATAAACCGTGTACTACACCAATTCGCGAAAGAATATAGATCATTATTCATTTTAAAATCCAATAAGGTTCTAGTGCTATCACAAGTTTGACCTTGATTAATGGAATAGATAAATTACTTAGATCTTACATCATGGATTTTTGTTTTTTAATTCGGCATTCAGCAATATTTCAGGTAAATG